AGTGATAGGGCACAAACATTCTGGGTAGAACGCTTAGTTTGGGACATCCCAATGTCTCAATATTGATTACTGCTGAACCATATAGAATGGTTTGAAGGATTCTCCTTTTTTGTTCGCCTTTGACATAAATGTACAGGTAGCTGGATGTCAGCTGTCTCATGTAGCCATAGCATAATTCGAAAGGAATATCTCCCGCATTCCAATGGATGCCATGTATGACATTGGTCGTATAATTGTTATGACGCATGTAATTCGGGGGTATCAGAGACTCGCAGTGTGGGGACTTGAACATCATTGTGTTGGTGATGTCCCATTTTGAGTTGTAGATACAGAACTCCTTAATGACATAGTTTCCCTCAGAATCTCTGAGCATTTGAATGTCACAGAAGCCGTGCGCCATGGTGATCATGATAAAGTGAGTGGGACGAGCGTCCCTACCCAACTGACTCTCGGTCCGAGATCATCAGCGAGAGTTATCGGCGTGCACAGCACGTCTGTGAACCGTTTATGACGCATGTGCGTTTTTTCCCAAACCATTTTTGAAAGAGTATTCGCACTTTCTCGTCGTTCTTTTCAGGGTCGGATGTAAAGTGTCTGTGTACAAACGATCGGAGGGAATACCCATGAGCCCTGTGTATGAGATAGAGTATACAGTACTCTCCACACACCATGGAATCAATGGCTTGCAGAGTTTTGTGATTATAGGCCCATTTTTTGCAGTGTTTTTTAAGAAATCTTTTATGCTGGCGTACCAGGGGCGGCATGCCGTAAGAGTCCCAGTATTCACCGACACCGTGCTTATCAACATAGAACGCTATCCAGTGTTGTCCGGGTTTCGATATAGGGTCCGTGTTACAGACGAGTAAAGCAGGTTGCTTCCTCAGGGTTTGAGGCAGAGTATCGGCTGCAAACACCCCCTCAAAGAGTGGGGCGACGTGTCTATCTCTTTTCATTAGGGTTTCTATGGTCAGACCATCCATTATCAAACACTAAAGTCGGTAATGATGTTTCGGTCTTTATCGATTTCGATTAGATTTTGAAACTCGGCGTAAATGATGGCATTGACCGGAGCGGCCGGTGGAGCTGCGAAACGAACGTCGATGCGCAGGGAGCCTTGTCTCTGAAGGTTCCAGTGGGAGCTGCTTGCAGAGAGGTCGGGCGACAGATCGAATGCGTAGAGTGCGGTCCCTCTGGCGTATTCCCTCCAATTTATATGATTTCCCTCGTCTTTCCAGTGGATCCCCGTCCCCGTAAAGAGGGTGTCGTAGCAATCCATGTATAGATCGTTTGCATAATCGGGTGTTAGCGGCTGGCTTGGAATGGGGCCGCCGTCAGTTTGTGCCTGTATGGAACTGACATTAAAGTGTTGAAAGTTCCAAGGATTGCGTCTGCAATCTCCATTGAAGGCCCGATTGTCAACAAAACCAACAACAAATCTCATGGGGAGATGAGTCGGAAACAGGTTGTCAATAGCTTTGTCACGGACCCCTTGGGCGAGGGTGACTATTTTAATGTCGACGCGGTTGACGGGGTACTTGGCAGGTGCCTTTTCTAGTGCCCTAGCGTGTGCCAGTAGCACCGAGGGGGAAATGGTTGCCTTACGGATATAGAGTTCAGTGGCGCCCAAACTATCGTTCAACCCATGCACGTGCATGGGTACATCGGCTGTACAGGTACATTTTAGAGACCTATACAGGTACATGGAGACAGAGAGGGACGAAAGAGAAAAGGAGAGAAAGGTAAAGAGGAAGGAAGAGAAGGAGGGAAAGGAAAGGAAAGAAATAAAGAAATAAGGCAGAAACAGAAGAGATTATTGTGAGACCTATAACATCCAGCCCCTGCCCTGCCCGCGCCCCCACGGGCGTCGGCGTGGAGA